GGTTCTCCTGCCCCAGTTTTGGGGTTGTCCTGCCCCAGATTTGGGGTCCCCCCCAACTCTGTTGTTCCCCCCAGATGCACAAACGGGAGCGAACCTGCAAGGATTACATTAAGGTGAGGGGGCGTGGCCGCTCGGGGGGCGTGGCCTGCGAGGTGGGCGTGGCCGTGCATGGTGTGGGTGTGGGTGTAGTTCTGGGGGTGTGTCGTATCCGGTGGGTGGAGCTTGTGGCGTGGTGGGCGGGGTCTGGGTGGGTGTGTCAGGGCGGGGTGAAGGAGGAGGCGGGGCCTGTATTGGGCGGGGCTGTGCTGGTGGGCGTGGCCTGGATGGGAGGGCTGTGTATGGGCGGGGCTTGGGGTAAATGGGTGTGGTCTGGACGGGTGTGGTCTGAGGGTGTTCACCACGGTGGGTGTGGCTTAGAAAGAGTGGGCGTGGCCTTGGTGGGCAGGGGTCTGCTGTGGGTGGGGTTTGTGGGGAGATGGGTGTGGCCTGAGTGGGTGTGGCCTTTCTGGGTGGGCGTGTCCAGGTGGCACCCACAGGTGCAGGCAGTGGGTGGGGCTTGACCTGCTGTTGGGTGGAGCCTGTCTGGATGGGCGTGTCCCAATGGGTGTGGTCTGTTCTGGGGGGGGCGTGTCCCAGTGGGCGTGTCACGAGAGGCATAGACATGTGGGTGTGGTCTTTTGGGGTGGGCGTGGCCTGTCACAGGTGGGTGTGGCCTGTCCAAGTAGGGGTGGCATATCTGAGTGGGCGTGGCCTAGAAGATGGTGGGTGTGCCACCATTTGTACCAGTGGGCGGGGCCTGTCTGGGTGTGTGTGGCCAGTGGGCGTGGCCAGTCCTGATGGGCGTGTCCCTGTGCCCCAGGCTGTGGTGGAGGCCATGGGGGTGGGAGGGGCCTGTCTCAGATGGGCGTGTCCAGCTGGGCATGAGCCATCCCGTGGGCGTGTCCCCGTGGGCGTGTCCCATCTGCATGGGCGTGTCCCTGTGGGTGTGTCCCATCTCAATGGGCGTGTCCCGTTCTGATGGGTGTGTCCCATTCCCATGGGCGTGTCCCCGTGGGCGTGTCCCTTCCCCCAGGCCGTGGTGGAGGCCGTGGGGGTGGGTGGGGCCTCTCCCAGCTGGGCGTGTCCAACTGGGCGTGTCCCCATGGGCGTGTCCCTTCCCCATGGGCGTGTCCCATCCCAATGGGTGTGTCCCATCCCAATGGGCGTGTCCCCGTGGGCGTGTCCCATCCTAGTGGGAGTGTCCCATCCCGCAGGCCATGGTGGAAGCGTGGGAGTGGGTGGGGCCTGTCCCAACTGGGCGTGTCCAGATGGGCGTGTCCCCATGGGCGTGTCCCATCCCCATGGGCATGTCCCATTCCCTGTGGGCGTGTACCATCCTGGTGGGCGTGTCCCATCCCGGTGGGCATGTCCCCATGGGCGTGTCCCATCCCCGTGGGCGTGTCCCATCCCGGTGTCCCATCCCGGTGGGTGTGTCCCCATGGGCGTGTCCCATCCCAATGGGCGTGTCCCATGCCGGTGGGGGTGTCCCATCCCTATGTCCCATCCCAGTGGGTGGGTTCCATCCCCATGTCCCATCCCTGGGTCCCATCCCGGTGGGCGTGTCCATCCCGGTGGGCGTGTCCCCATGGGCGTGTCCCATCCCAGTGGGCGTGTCCCATCCCGGTGGGCGTGTCCCATCCCGGTGGGCGTGTCCCATCCC